AATGCGCTGCTCAGCCCCGCACGCTCCCAACTGCTGCTGTGGGGCTGATATAACCCAGAGCCGGGAGCTGCCTTCAGCAACACAGCTCTGTGGGATGCTTTCCAGCCCTGCATAGGTTTTATTTAGTCACTTGGGAGAGAAAAAAAAAATAATAAGAGAGATGGCTATATTTTTATCTGTTGCTGAAGGACAGAAGCCAAGCTCGGCTGCGCTCACAGCTCTGCCTCCCCAGTGCAGGGCAAATCTTGCCCCTGATGCCCATTACCAGGTCATACTTCTGGGCAGGGATGCGGATGCACCATGGGGGAGGGAATCCACCTGCAGACACATTGCTGCCCTCCAGCCCTGGCAAAGCTGCCCCTAAATATATGGGTCCCTACTGAAACCAGCCCTGCAGCCCCTGGGGTGCTGGGGACCCTGGTGTGCCGGCTGCACCCTGGCTTGGCCCCACTGTCACTGTGGCATGGGCAAATACAGACCAGATTAGGGAGCCTGGCTTGGGAAAAAAGCGAAGCAAAGCAAACAGTCATCCCTGCCTCTGCCTGCCCTGCACTCCCTTCCTGACGCATCAGAGGGAAGCACATTGCCAGAGCGAGCAGGACTCTGAGCTCCAGGAAGCCACAGTTTCATCTTCCCTTCTATGGCGCGAGCAGCCGCGGCGTTCAACACGGCCCAGGCAGTGGGGTGAGGAGATTGGGATTCGCAGGGTTTGTTCTCGTTGCTGACATGGCTCGCCCTGCAAATGTGGGGTGCACCAGGATGCCACCAACCCCTACCTACAAAGGGTCCCCAGCCTGCCCCCTGCTCCCATCTGATGCTGATGTGCATCCCCCTGCTATTTAATGTACCCCATGTCCTGAGCTGGGTTTTGGAGTCTGGTGGGGATGGGTGGATGGACAGCGAAAGCTCTACAAGTCCGGGGGCATCATGGGAACCTCAAAAGGCCACTCCCATAGTTTTACTACTGCAAAGCAAGTGCTGTGTGGGGAGACTATCCTGGCACAGTGGGATCACGCGGCCTTCAAGGGTTTGGCATCTGAGGATCTGAGCCTTGCGGGGAGTGGGATGCTGGTACCTCCCCCAGGAGTAACCCCCCACTTCACCTGCCCAAACCACCTCCACTGCACGTGTTCTGCTTGCTGGCGAAGGCAATGTCCAAGGACAAAGAGCCCAGGGCTGGTCAGCCCTGGTCACCCCATATAGCATGAGCAATTCCCCAGCATGGATCCAGGTCACTTTCACCTCTCCCCCATGCCCCAGACCAGTGGGACGGGGCCTCAGAGCCCCTCAAGGAGGGTGATTTGAGACAACTGCACTGAACTCAGAAAGGGCTGAAGGAAGCAAGAGGTGTGCCAGCATCAGCAGACAAATCTAAGTACCTGCCCCGAGGCTATGAGCGAGGCACCCTTCCTACCTCTAGGAGCAATTAAAAGTGTCTAGAGCTAATTTGACTCCGAAGCACTTCATTGTGCTTTGAGATGAGAGCTCCACCACCAAAGTGAAAAGCAAAATGTGGCTGAAAACTGACTGAAATATGGAGGCACCTTTTGCTGCCACTTCCACAGCAGCACCTGGCACCTGCGCCTGGTATTGCCCAGTGCATTTTGGAGAGCTGGAAGATAGTCCTGGTATCCACTGTGTGTACAAGAAGCAGGTTGGGAGTTGCTCCAGCTGAAATGGCTTTGGCCCAGGGAAGAATCAGCCCAAAACATCCCACAGGTGCAGACCATCGACAGTGCTGCTTATCCTGTAAGGTCTCGGCATGGAAACATCTGGCTCTGGCTCTGAAGAGGCTCATGCCAAAAAATACCTTCTAGCTATTTAAAAAAAAAGGTATCCACCTTCTTAGAACTAAGTATTTCTTATGGTCTGGAGCAAAACTGTTTAGGGATGGATTAATCAGGGATTTCCAGCAGAACCTGAGGCACCTCAAAAGGTGCCAGTGGAGGGGAGCACCCGTGCAGAGGCAGCCCATGCGGGGCAGCTGGGTCGGCTGCAGCTCTGCTTCAGCTGTGAGTGTGAGGTGCGGTTCTGTATTGTTAGTTTTCTTCCTCTTTTCCGGTTTTACAAGTGAGTTAAGCAACTAAACCATGCAACATTACCACCAGTGAAAGAAATCACAAAGAGGCAGGAAACAAGCGCTGCTCCTGGGGACAAAGTTTTGCTTTGTGGTTGTGGAGATGGGGGCCAGGATTTGGCTCGTGTCCCTAAAACCTCCTCAGAACCTGTAGCAGATGCTCAGTGCCACCAGAGCAACACTGGGGCAGGTCCATGAGAGCTGTCTCTGACTCTGCTGCTGTTTTTCCTCTGGTGACGGTTGTTACAAGATGACTATCACCTCTTGTACAGTCAGATCTGTGCCGCACGCTGTGCATGAACCCTTCACAACGTTGACAGCCCTGAGTTTCGCATCCTGACCTTTCCCTGGCTCCTGTTGCTACATATAGTTCCTATATCTCCAAAATAAATTCACCCCAATCCTGGAGGGTGGCCAAGCCTCAGCACTGATCTTTAGGGGAGGCATCTTGGCCTCTCTCATGCTGGGTGCACAGCTGAACAGCAGTGATGGTGAGCAGCCGAGCGTGGGTGGATGGAGCCAGGAGGGGAAGGGACCCAGGGGATGGTGTCAGCAGCTCAGGGCCAGGCTCTGGTGGTGGCACCTGCGCCTGTGCCTGTTTATTGCCCCGCTCCCACAGGCCGGTGATGGGAAGGATGAGGCTGCCAAGCCAGCTCCCCCAGGCATCATGCAGCAGTGCCTGGTATGCGTCCACCCACGGGACCCAGCCCAGGCTTCCCAAGGTCACCTCCAACCTGGGACCAGCCCCTAAAGCCTCTGCAGCCCCCAGCCCCTTCACAGACCCAAGCCCCATGATGCTCACCCCACATCTGCTGGGGCTCACCCCTGGGGTTTGAGGGCTCCCCCATCCCCAAGAAACCCCAAGGGACCAGCTCTGCAAGTTCACCCATCAGCAGTTGGTGGGTGAAGGTCTCCCACCCTGCTTTTTACTACCCTGCACGGGAGACCATGGGCAGGAGAGGCTTGATGTCTGCCTTTACCACTTTTTGCCACAAAGGGGGTTTTTGGTGCTACTTTCAGGATTAACCTGCAACTTAGTCAAAGCAGTAGAGCTCATGGTGAGTGGTGCCTTAAGACTGAGCAGAAAAGCTTGAGAGTGGGTAAAGGCAGGAAGGGAGGTGTCTGTGGGCAAATGACTGACTTAAATTTCCGCATTTCAGTAAACGTGTGACACTCAACACCTGGGCCTCAGCACTGCTGTTTCTCCCTGTCTTATGCTCCTTCTTGTGAGCTTTTAGAGTCACAAACCAGCCCAGAAATGTCTGATTGTATGACAGGGAGAAGAGTGGGGGGCTTTGTTCCGTGATACGGAGAAGCAGCTAAGCCTGCAAGTACTGTAAATAAAGGCACTTGCTGGCTCCGGGGCTGTGCAAGCTCTGTGCCTGCTCCCCCCACACCCCCCAGCAGTGGGTTGTGTTTTGGCCGCATGGTCCGAGGCAGCCGAGCTCTCACAGCTGCTGCTGCGAAGGGACACCCATGCAGGGGGGCACACCAGCACCCCGGGGCCTTTCTGACTTTCCTCCTGCCACCTTCCAGCAACTACAGCCCACTGACACCAGTACGCACAGCACAGCGACTTCAAAAACAACCGAGGCTGATGGTGGGGCGCTAAGGCAGCGTGAGCATGTCAAAAAATTAGTAATAATTAGCAGCAGATAATTTCTAGACCTTAACTTGCAGAAGAACCCTTCAGTGCAGAGCAATGTGCCGAGATCTGCTGGGGACTCAGTGTTCTACTGCAGAAGCATCACCTTTGGCACAAGGGGGGACCCAGCACAAGGGGGAACACAACTTTCTGGGACAAGGGGGGGAGATGCTGTGGGAAGATGGCAGAGATCTAGCTGGGAGAACCCATCCCTATCCTATATGGGACCAGCATTTCCAACAGGCACTCTCACCCCAGAAGCTGCATACTTTTTAGTAAGGGCTTCTCTGTGATGTGGGGGCTCTCCCCCTGTGCCTGGAGGGGTGCAAGAGGGTGCAGCAGGGCAGGTGGCTGCCAACTCCTGCTGTGCCTGGTGCTGGCTCCCCCACCACAACACCGGTGGGGTCACACATTGCTGGGGGCACCACTCTCCTCGGCAGGGAGGACCGACGCTGGGTCCCCCAACACATCTTCTCTCAGCAGTGCAAGCAGGGCCCCATGCTAATCCTAGCCCCACGCCAACCCCAACTCCATGCAAACCCCAAAACCACGCACACTCGCTCCCGTTTAAGCCCTGATTCCACGAGATCCCCAATCCCACGGGAACCGCGACCCCACGCGAAGCCCAGCCCAGCCCAACCCCAACCCCAACCCC